ATAACATGATTGTTGATGAACTCCTCCCCAGTTTTTCCAAAACTTCTATTGCAGATGACAATTTGTGTCAAGCATCAGCATACCCGAGCTTTTTGTTTGTTTGTTTCTTTATTTATTTATTTGTCTGTTGAAGTGCGTCTTTCTTATTATTTCTCACTATGACCTCCAAATTTGCAGGTCACATCAATAATCAGTATAATACTTGTTTTTGGATGCTTGTAAAGTCCGGCAAAAGCAAGAGTGAAGCACAAAATCTCTTGAAGGTATGCTTTAAAATACTCGAGTTTGCAAAGCTACATATGGTGTCCATATCCATGTTAACAGTGTTTTATTTGTGTTAAATATAAATCTGAAAATTTAGGCAGCATTGATTCTTTTACTTAGAAATTTTGTCTCGTTTTAGTATCATGTTATTTTTACAAAGAAACCAAAATAGCGGAAGATGGAAGATATTAAGTGTGGTTCTAGAGTTGTCTGTATTATTTAGTTGATGTGAAGTGTAAAGACAACTTGGTTGGTTACTTGATTACATGAGAAGCAGATTGGTTGATATGGAAGTCTTATGGAATTGATGTGAGCTCTCGAGTAGTTTATGGAAATTGAAAGTGTTTTCTGAACATATTGAGACCTGTGATTTCAAAGTGTGGTTGAAATGGCGTTTTTCAAAATCGAGACTTGTGTCTGCAAATTGGTTTTTCAGGCCCTTTTTCTGGATTTTCTTATTCTAGAGTTGTCTGTATTATTTAGTTGATGTGAAGTGTAAAGACAACTTGGTTGGTTACTTGATTACATGAGAAGCAGATTGGTTGATATGGAAGTCTTATGGAATTGATGTGAGCTCGCGAGTAGTTTTTGGAAATTGAATGTGTTTTCTGAACATATTGAGACCTGTGATTTCAAAGTGTGGTTGAAATGGCGTTTTTCAAAATCGAGACTTGTATTGGTTTTTCAGGCCCTTTTCTTATTCTGGATTTTCTTATTCTAGAGTTGTCTGTATTATTTAGTTGATGTGAAGTGTAAAGACAACTTGGTTGGTTACTTGATTACATGAGAAGCAGATTGGTTGATATGGAAGTCTTATGGAATTGATGTGAGCTCGCGAGTAGTTTATGGAAATTGAATGTGTTTTCTGAACATATTGAGACCTGTGATTTCAAAGTGTGGTTGAAATGGCGTTTTTCAAAATCGAGACTTGTGTCTGCAAATTGGTTTTTCAGGCCCTTTTCTTATTCTGGATTTTATTATTTGGTAATTTTCAGGGTACTCAAACTCAGGAGAAAAATGAACTTCTCGATCAGCTCTCCGGTATCTCAAATTACTATCAGACATCACAACCCATGTTCCGCCAGGGTTCATCAGTTTATTGGGATAGGGTCTCTCTCTCTGTCTCTCTGTCTCTCTCTCTCTCTCTCTCTCTCTCTC